TAACCTCAAGGGATACAGAAATTTTTAATTTAATTTCAATTTGTCAAATTAGGAAATTAAGACATTGATACATACAATCAGACTGACTCGTTAATTACAAGAATCGACAGCCCCAATACATATGAAGTTAAATTCTTCGATGGCCCGCAGTTTTTTCGATTCCAATACCCATTTGATTAAAGCTACGAGTGCACAGCTATTGCTGTCAGCGTAGAAAAGGTATCGCGTAAAAGTATCACTAAAAATCAGCGGGGGGTCTCGCGCGAAGAACATCATGTCGCTCGGCTAAGCGTGTATCCCGGGAACCTGCGGAAGCGCTGGACAAGCCTACCGGAACACAGGAAGCGGAAGGGTGCGGAGGTGTAGCGTGTACATATATATATGTATATATGTATGTACACATATAAATATCTGTTCGTCGACCCTCTCACTTCATCACCGGACTCGTGCACTGATTACGTCCTGATGAAAGGCTACAACTACGATTGCGTTGTATTTAGTGTTTCGAATCCGCGTCGCTTATATTTGCTTCGTCGAGATCAAATAAAATAATCCTACATTTCGTAGCTCAATTAGGTTTATTTTCTACACTAGGTATAGTTCAGTTTTTAGCTAGCGTTTGCGAATTTACTTTCGAATATTATAAGCTAACATTACGCATCACAGAAAAGTGTAAAAATCTTAAGAATGCTCGAGCGTTTCATGATGTGCTGAGAGACCGACACGGTAAGCCGCGCTATCGGTTCCTTTGAGCAATTTACCGGACGGCTCGAGCCATTGGCTGCGGAGTCAAAGAAAGATTGACGGATCGTTTTTGAAGTCATCATCTCGTGCTCGCGCGCGTACGTGAATAATAAATCGCCCTTTTAATCATGCGCCTTATATGCTGTAGCGCTTACCGTTCGACCTTAATGGATCGACCCTTGAGACGAGTATCGAACGACGCGGTAGGTTTTGCTTGGATCGATAATTTCGCACATACTTGAAACACCTCGCGATCATTAGTCAGTACACATGTTTCGCTCGATAGTATGCTCATCGTGCTCTTTGCTCTTTGCTCTTTGCTCTTTGCTCTTTGATTGGCGGACCACCTTGCTGATTCTACCCTGAAGGTAACCACATACATACATATAGCGCGGGTATATAGTACGTTGCGCGTTTTATATACAGACCGCTAATGTTGACGCGCTAATGTTTTAAGGAAACTCGACCAACGATTAGAGATTACATATGGCTTTGGACGCTGCACGCAAATAAATCGAACGATTAATCAGACAGCCACGAAATATTACGAGAGTCAGCTTTAATGTATTAATTGTGACGTTGAGCGATCAAGATATAAAGCGCACTGGAGAAATGCGAATTCTTCGGATCGTTGTGTTTTGAGTCATACGACTATTAGCACTTTATATATCTGCCAGATAGATCTGCTCGTCGTACTTGAAAAGTTTGATCTCGATGTTCGAGTCATTGCGTACATATGGTATATATCCGTCAAATATCGCACGTTTTCGAGCGTCGATCCGCCAATGTGTTTACAAACTCCGTATGAGATGTATCTCCCGTTCACGTCAGCTGATCGATCCAAATTACTCACTAATCAAATCAGTGTCATTAGCGATTCGCGCACGCCTTTATCGCTCTGTCCGTCAATAACTCGACTTATATATGTATGTAATCGATCGACTTACATAATTGCCTTTTCCGAAGTAATGAGTGTGAGAACAGATTTTTTATTGTTTGTGGCCGCGCGCGATATGCCGAAAGTCGCGCACCCATCGTAATATTTATAAGTTGCTGTTTCCCAGCGATCGGTGTTTTTAAATGCCGTGCGGTACACGCATCCATGGGAATCTCGGCAGTGTGTCGCACAGGTGATCCCCATGGCTTTAATTAACGTCCAGCGGTATGCCAACCACATTTGCGAGTACAGCCGTGCAGGAAGTATAAGGAGAGGCACCTGTCAAAAAACGCGTGCGGTTTTTCGAATCGTGCGAGTATATGTAACGCTAGGTCTGATTTCTATGCGGTGTGATTTTTACCGCGTTTTTTGGCTGCTTCCACTTTTTATAAGCACGTTTCCCTACCAATTATGCGCGATTAAATTATCTCGAGGATAATCCAGATCACTACGAATTTGATTACAAGCGTGAACGAATACTTTAATCAATATTTTAAAAATTAAATCTTTTAAAAATATTGATTTTCCATCAATTTGAATTGAAACAATAGTAATCATATAAAACAGCTGCCGTCTTATGAAATCGTGTTCGATAGATTGCCCCTTTGCTTTTTTTCACGAGAATATTTTTTATTCCTACGTACTTACAGCGGCGAGTCTTACACTCAAATTGAGCATATCTCGGTCACAACGGGCAGAAGAGATTCCAACAGGTGACATTTATGCACGTAATCGTATTCACGAGGCTATGGGAACTCGATCCTTTTATACACATTATACCATATAGTTCTGACAGTAAATACCAGTAATTACTCCGAGAGACTAAGAGAAACAAAGGCACGAAGATCTGGAGACATCTATAGTGCGAAGCACGACACAACGAGAATTACGTGACAAATTTTTTACAAGGGGATATGTGTACATAAGCTGTAGGTACACGCGAATTTGTGTATAAATATAGGTAAAAAGGGAATTTTTGTCATTGACCGTCCAGAGCACAGCATAGCCTTATTATAAAACGTGCATTATGCATGGGGTTGAGGAACGTGCATGATTGTTGTGTTGGGGAAAAGCACCTGTGGTTACTTCGTTTCCTTACCTTATATACGTACGAGTACTTCAAAGCTGAAATTGACCAGCCGTTTCACATAATAACTATTTCAATTTTTACTGAGGTTGATAGTGTGATTTTGTTTCGATTCGATTTGCTTTTTCCACGACTAATTTTTTTTTATTAAAAAAAAAATGAAAATTGATTTTACAACAAGATTTCATGATTCATCAAAAAATGGAAAAACGTTTTTCGAGCGTAGAATAAGGAAAAATAAGTAATCAGTTTCGCACAGACTATAAACATAAAGGAAAATTGAGACACTCTGCGTTAACGATAACTCAAATTGGAGAGAACATCGATCCTTGAATTTTTTCTCAAAATCTCCTTTTTCGCATTTTCAAATGCTAGAGATTAGCCGGCATAAATCATTGTCGTTGGTTGTTCCGGTAGAACGGCGTAGAGCGATTATAGCTTGACGTATACCTGAAATCACAGCCGCAAGCGACGCAGTAGTACTCATCCCTCAACATACACCTTCCCACACTTCATCCCCTCGAGCAGTGCGTGCGGCAGTCACTTTTCAGGTATGCCAGAGTCACGCATATACACCTTCGCAATAAGTTTGTGAGAAAGCAAAGGGGGTGGAAATCAAAGTGCAGCTTGGTGCGCGCTCGGCCCGCTCATGCTTGTGTGAGAATTCCGCACTCGGGATCTCACACAGCTCGAGGGGTGAACACCTTTAGTTAGCTGCCTACGTGCGTGCACAAATTCCAAAAGATACGTATAACTTCAGCTCTGATTCATTCGTAGCCAACCCGTATAGATAGAAAGCGAGGGTGAGAACATTGAATAACAATAGTCGGAGATACTTGTCTGTTACATATTATTTTCACTCGCAAACGTTTATCCTTTTTTTGGACGTCAATTAGTGATCTTACGATTTTCGAATGAGCTAATTCTGGTAGGATCTGTCATTTCAGCTCATTGATTGTGAGCCATAGATAACTCATAAAGTTGAACGTGACAGTGATTCCCCCATATGTATAAACAACTTATATTCTTAATCGCCACCCTCATCAGTGCCTTTGTTGTTGTGTGTTGTACTTTATGTATAATGCTAATATTATTAAAGGCAGGAACGACATTTCCACCAAGCTTATTTTATTGTCACGTAGAGTACTACTAGCTCAGATCATATCGAACCGGACATCTTCCCGCATTGTGATTGATTATTAGTTCTGCGTTTGTGTACTGATTTTTTTTGCATGATCTTTCAAAGAAATCTGTCCATAAATACAAAAATGGTATTCAATGGTGGGCCTTTGCAACAAGAAAGAAAAATATGGCATCAGATATAATTAAATTACTTTTCAAGTTAAGTTTAATAAAAATAGGTTGTCTTTATCAAAATTATGAACTATTTTTTGTATTGTTTTATTTTCATCTTTTTCTGTAAGTATTGAAAATAACTAATTACTTTTTAGAACAAAAATAAGACAAGTAAGTTGACGATTTTGGTAAAAAGGGTTGGCTTTGATTATAAAAATGCATAATCTCAAATGAAGTATTGATTCATAATGAGGCAAATGAGCTAAAAACACGAGCGACACTACTGTGCTCTCATTAGCAAGTCCATTTATCTAAAAGTTGAGTAATGCTCTGCTCTACTGAAATACCAAATTAAAATTACAACTCATATACTCACGAAATAATACCTCTTTCACTGTATGCGTAACAAGCACGCGCTTATCTGCTGTATCACACAGAAGAGATTGTCTGAATGAGTGTCGTGTTTCCATCGCAATATAAAAATGCCTCATGCGCACGAGCAGGCAACGAATAGATTATTCGAGCCTGCTATACGATGCACAAAAAGGCGCGGCGCAGCTCGGATAAATCGATTGGCGTCGCGAGCACATCAAGTGTGCAAGTGTGTGCGCGTACATGTCGAACCTGTCATTACATGGCATGGGCCAATTTTTTGCCGTTATATACTAGGCTCCTGTTATTATTATATGAGCATAGTTCGCGTAGACGATGACTGAGTCTGATAAATTACAAATCAAAATCTTATGCGAATAAAGACTATTAGACACTTGCAATGCGGCTAATTAGTGAATTTGGTTGGAGGCACTTTCGCAAATATATGTAATACATGTGCATTCATAAAGACATCTTGTTTGATACAGCATTGACGAATTACCATGATACTTGAAAGTATTGTGTTTATCAATGGTTATGATTTATGGCTTTATTTGTTCACAGGTCCGAGAGCGAGAGAAAAATGATGAGCCCGGAAGCACAGTGTTACGCAGAATCTGTGAGAATATGGTAAGTTGACATTATATGACAATCTTGAATTCGTAACTTCAGACCTCTTAACGCTATCTCTATAATTTCGTTTCTTCATGTACTTGCAAAAGACATGCGTAAATATCGTCTGATATATACCTTGTGAAACATTTATTGGGAGACCCTGACATTCCTGACCTCATGTAGATGCTTCGACGCGTGGAAACTCGACCAAGGACAATAAAGCGCGTTACAGCTATGTAGCATAGTACTTTTACATCAGATCCGCAAACTAACTCGTAGTTACAAAGTTCACTTGTGCCGTAAGGTTTGCACTTTTATAAGTGTGAAAAGGAATAAATCACAGATAGAGAGGTGAGTTCATTAGTAAAGGGAGCTCTCTTTAGTTAACGAGCGTCTTTGATGATGAACGTAAGTGAGTAGTATAATCGCAGTTTTAAACTATATGCACATTTTTTTTCCTGCCATGCAAATTTTATTTCTTCCAATGTGGTGAAGTCGCTTTCCGAATTTCGTCGCATCGTTTCTCTTTCATTATTTACAATTGCAATGGTGTTATGGCGAAAGAGCCTTTATAATACAAAAAATTTTTTTTACAAAAGTTGAGAATGTTCTATATAATCTGTTTGAGACTACTTACAAATCCTACTAATCTTAGGTGCTAAACATGAACTTTTTTAAATTAGTCGCCAAATTTCACTCGTTCGTACTAGATAGCTAATAAAAGCTATTAATCCTACCTTTATACGCCTGTATCGTATTTGTTTTATGCGCAGGGAAAAAACAGTGGAATTCTATCGGAAAATAGCTTTCACCATTCATCAGTTAAAGATGGGATTGAAACTTCCACATCCGAATCCCAATGATGGCGTCGACAATCAGATTAATTGCCTCTGACCAATCAAACATATTTTTTATCGCTTATTTGAGATTTAGGCTTTCTTTTTGTGGCTCACTTATAACTGTGACATAAGATACTTCCATGTACTCCATTACACATCTATACATGAAGGTTCACACAGAATAAAGAAAAAAGAGGCACTTGATTCTTCGTTGTGTCGCGCTACCGTTAGTGGCGGTGACGTACAGCCCACTTGACTTTAATAATAAAAAATGTCGCATTGTCATTTGGAGTGGTCGCTACTGCACAACCACTGTAGAGGGTGGTTTTATATTCACACGCATACATGTATATATAGACCTACACGTATGCACGACTCACTTGCCTGAAGAAGCAAGTGTGGGTGCACATACCCTTTTGAGGCCTGCTAAGAGTACCTTGGTACCACAAGGCTTTCATGATAGAAGCGCGTGTCCTTCTCGTTCGTTCCGCTTTGTCTCAATTTACTTTGTACATGATCGTGTATAAAAATATGTTCGTACATATAACAAGAAACTTCTACAGGTAAATCGGACCCACGTGTTTGAAAGATATAATTTTTTATCTCTATCAGACGATAATTTTTTATAACTGTTGAGTTTTATTCGAGTATTATAGATACATCGTATACGTTTTACCTGTACAAAATATTTTCTCCCTAAATTTTCTCTCATGCACACCCTCGAATTTTTCCTCTCACTTAGCTCTTGCGCTTTCACTTGGTTTTACATGAGCAAAGGGTAGCGTGCACTGGGTAATTTATCGTCGACCGACAACGTCGCCACCACCTCATTTCCACTTGCGATTTTGTATAACCCCTTTGCAAGAGCTTGGCTAGCTCAAGCTAGCACATTGCGGTAAAAAAGCACTTTTTACGTCTCGCACGGACGCGCCGCCGAGTGATTCGAGTCTCTCTTCGTTTACTCGAGCTTGCTTCAAATTCTTTTAATGTCAGAGAGTCGTAGAAATCATGATTCGTCATTTTACGCTCATGTCCCCTGATCGATAAAAGACCTCGTGCAAATAATGAGCGAAGCTTTTATTTACCTATACTAACTTTTTTTTATAAATCTCATCACATTTACACGCTTTAGCATTGTGGATGTAAAAAACGATTACTAGTTCAACACTCGCAAGAATTGAATTCATCATTCGACCGCTCAGGGGTAAAGCAGGTGAAAGATTATTTTTTCACACTCTGAAAGAACAAAATTCATTACTATGTGATATAAATGACCGTCTGGGGGAAAAAGTAGAAGTTCAATTATTCTTATGGTTTAGCTTTTCTTTCTTGAGGCTTATTAAGTTTCAAAAATCAGCAGGAGCGATGAATGATTCGTTTGCTCGGCTGCCTAATACGATTACAGTTGTTATCAGATGTCGTACTTGTTCGTGTATAGTAGCCGCTAGTCAGCTCCCAACAACGTACATCTACGTGCACAAATACTGTACAACTCGTTTGTCATCACGTGACGTCGATGCAGGAAACATGATTTACTTCCGTTTCCCGTTCGTTTCACAGCCTTCCTCCCTTTACTCACGGCTGTTGCAGCATTTTCCACCATTTTCCACCGGGCGGACGATTTGGATATTTTTTGATTATGCTTACTCTTGCCGCCTCTGGTAATTTTTCTCCCTCGAAAAGTATTAAAAATCACCTTGTAGTAAGAATATTTATGACATTTTTTTCTGTCGTTTACCAATGCAAAAAATGGTAACATTTTTGATGGGAAAGAGAAAAAATTGTCCTGCCTTAAAGTAGTTTATCAATTAGCCATAGGAATGAATTAAAATAAATAAACTATCAATTCGTTGAATAATTTCTAGTTAAGTTCCGGCATACACTTGACTTTAAATATTCCTTCCGAAATTAATAGTACGAGCAGTGATTTTTCTTGTTTTTTAGTTTTCTCTTTCTTCCTATGAAAAAATGTTTTGTGTGATCTGAGAAAGAGAAATTTTAACTCCATCAAACTCCACGAAAAAAATCATTTAAATGTCAAGGATTATTATAATGGATTTTGGTAACATTTAATATGTGAAACTAATATAACGCGGTTAAAGTATGCTCGAAGAGAAGAAAAAATGAATGAGGTATTCAAAAAGAATATTGCATTTTTGTTTAATTATTTATCTCTAAGAAATTTTTTATATATAGGATTATTGTTTTCTTATTTTAATATTAATTATAATTAATTATTATGTTCTTTTATTTTAACTCTGGAAAATACCATACAAAATTGTTTAAATAAATTGTTTTGTCAAAAGCGCGAAATTGCAAAAAATTAAAAACAAATATTATCAAACAATTGCTCCATCATTGTTGAGAGATATCTACGTAGCATAATGATTCATTACTCGAAACAATAATAAATTGATTCACAAACTTTTTCTTTCGACCTTGGAAATAAGTGGTATATTAGACTTCTAGTCCAGAGACTTTATCCCCTTTGTAAGCATCTACTCCGGAAAATTCATCGAGTTATCCGAGTAAGTTGTCTCACGCATCGCTCGGCATCGCCGCTGGGAAGGAAGTCATTGACTCGCTTCGGCATGTAGTCGTTTAATGTGCCTTTTGGTCGCTACCACTGCCACCTTTCTTCGTCCTTAAATCTGTGCAGCCAATAATTTTCCTGAACTGTCGGATGCGTAATTAATCGTTTTAGTTAATTTGTACAAATTTGCCAGCATATGCTCGTTTTGAAATATTGCCGAGTTTATATAGTTTGTTTGTCTAAGTACTTTTTTTTCTCGCCAAAAACTTTCATAGCGGGTTAATATTTGTATATGCACAATAAACATTTGCTGTTTTACAATCCCATTGAAAACTTTAAAAGTCGGTTTTAGAAGCTGCCTCATTGTTCCCTGTAACGAACACGGAACGGAAACGATGTAGAACTGTAAAACTCGTGCACGGTATTTGTCTTTTACATAGTGTATGGACCCGCAAGTTCTCTTGATTTTGCTTTGTACGCTGTAGTCAAATTTTTCTTTGAAAAATCAATCGACGTGTACCGACAAAAAGGTACAAATAAGTCTCCAGGGTCCATGTAACCCTTTTACGACGTAATGATCGCCGGTTTTGGACACGTTTTTAATCGAAACTCAAATTTTTTCGGTGCGACAGAAAGCCAAATCGCAAATTTGACGTTGCTGCTATAGACGCACGTCGATGACAATGGTCAAAGATCAAAAAGGACACAAAACCGTTAAAAGCTAGACTGAAAGAATAACCCTCCGATGATTTCGAGGGTTATAAGCGCACGGGGAAACTTGGAGAGATTCCGCACGTGCATGCCGCCTTTCACCATAAGAATTTGATACATGCGCTTTATACATTGTAGCGTCGTGAGAAGGGCCATATATATATTATACCATGTATAATACGGTCAAATTGGAAACTCCAACCTCTGGCATACTGCCTATAGTGCTCAATATATCTGCACGTACACGAGCAATTTTTATTTAGGCGCGCTCTGATCGTTAATGAAGCATAACGAGGCTGGATCTGTATCACTATGAGCATGTACTAGCACGATTTACGAGGTTTGCGAGTTCTTTCCAATTTTCGAGAACTCATAAACGGGCTCGCGATTAATTCATCTTTTTAACGGTGGATGTTAGAAGTGTCACAAAGATTAGCTCATAGCACTGAAAAAGGCCTACGTATACCTACGTTGTTTAAGCGAAATAAAACAACGGGGCGATGAAACATTAATGCTGCTCATCAGTCAAAGTAATGGTCGCTTCAAAAAATAATTTGATTCTCATTGCGAATTACAAATGTGCAAGCGCGCGTGAAGCGACGCAGGCCGTTAAAAAATTGGCCTGAAGGACAATGAAAAACGAGGCTTATACATTTCGAGCCGTCATCAGCACCATCAAGGAATCATCATGACACAACTAGTGTGCAGTTTAATGCTCCCGAACTATCCGCGTGCGCATAATACATGTAGGTATAGCGCATAATCATAACAGAGACGTAATCTCTCTGAAAAAGCTCAAGTCGTAACAAGATTATACATGAGCAGCCCGGGGGTCGTCATCGGTCGCTGTCTTGCGCGCTTATGCGAGAACTTCGCTACGCGCATGGACATTTATAAAACGAGATCTTACGACAGTGCTATAATACATGAGA